TCAAATGTTATAACGGTATTCTTAAGGCTGCCCTGAAGGCAGACTCCCAGTCCTTGCAGGGGTGGACGAAAAGACTGTATGAAACCCTGCGGGACCTGAATGAAAGACCTCGAGATGGCAGACCCAGTGCCCTGAGAATGTTGCAGATGACATGGGCCACCCTGCTTAGGATCCAAATTACAGGCACTGATCATCAGGTAAGACCCCAGATTGGTAACGAAAATAATCTTCTGTTCCCTGCCCCTGAGAATTTAGAGCTGGGTACCCATAAAATAAAATGGCCCTGGAAGGTGCAGGTAGGACCCAAGTGGTGTGGCCTACTTGCACCTTGGGGGAAACTATTGGAGGTGGGAGGCTCAGCAGTCCCTCCAGTAATAGGTACATGGCCTACTGATATTGTGGTCTACACTCCGATCTTTATTGATAAAGGGACCCCCATCCTGTCCCTGTGGCAGATCAGGACACCTCCTTTGGTGCCTGATATCGTAATGCAGCCGCAGATATCTGGCCAGCAGGGGTGGTACAGGCGGCCAGGACGTGCCCCAGTACAAGCGGAAGTGTTGACCCAGGATAGAAATATGGCCTGAATCTTGCCCTGGAGAGCAGACGTTCCCCTCCTGATACCTGTGAAACATCTGTATTACTCCCTGTGAGTCTGTGAGCCTTCAGGAACACCGTAAGGAACAAAATGCCACCAAGTGTTCCAGTGTTGCTGTCAGATCACGTACAACACCCAGTGATGGTCTGCATGGGACTGATGGAACATAGAACGGACCTGCACCTCAGGACCTCGTGCCTCCAGTCACATCATCGAGCACTGGCCCATAGAAGAATATAGACATCCACTGATCATCACTTGTCTTGAATTGCACCAACACACGTCACGATAAAATTGTATAAGTGTCGCGATATACCGGATCTCTGTATTAGGGAAAGCTTACCCTTTAGTTAACCTGATCATTGGTTCATGCTGTGGAGGGGTGGAGTGTATGGGAACTGCTGAGTCACGGCCTGAACCTCTGATTGATCACCTGAGGCGAGCCATGAGCCAGCCAGAGGAGCACAGGTGAAGGCAATTCAGCTGCCCTGCTGAAAGGGGTGCAGCCAGGCTCCTCCTAGACCTATTGAAGAGCTGGCTACCAGAGGGGAAGGATCTCTTCTGGAGATCACCTCTCTTGGTGTTTTGTGGTGAGCTCAGCTGAAGGGTAAGCTCTTCCACTAATTCTCTTTTGTGATCGTTGTCTACTTTGCCTAACTCTCTTGATTATATTGTGATTATAACATCTTGATATCTATTGATTATACAAGCAGTAAAGGGCTAAACCAAGCTTGCATAAGCTTACACAGTGTTTTTTAACACAGTTTTTTAAACAGCACTTTTAAGGTGGTTTGATAGCAAATGATCCCATTTGCAGGTGATAAACATAACTTCTTGTGACCTCTTGAGGGGTCGACTGCTTTGACTTTGCTGTACTTACTGTGGTTTCAGATGTTTCTTCTCAAAACAAGTTGACTTGCAAAAAAAGAAGAGCCTCTCCCTATTTCTGAAGCTCTGCATTTGCTGTCCTGCTCCCAGGACCAGGTTCAGTGATGTTCACACTGCATGCCCATACCAGTGCTCAGGCAGCATGCCCACCTCACTCAAAGCACGCCTCAAGCTCCCCAACCATTCATCTCTGAAACACTCAGGGCATTTCTGAGCCATGCTCAAAGGAGGACAGTATGGAGACTGGCTCTGCAAGTGCGAGCTCAGAACCACGGATGGACTCTGCTTATTTATAGCAGGGCTGGCTAAACTAAAATAGTTATCCCAAAAGCAAGGCATGCTATATATACTCACACACAAGTGACTTGTTCATTTGAAGTTGGCAGTGCAGAGACAAGATGTCTGCCCTATGGCAGGTCTGGAAGCCAAGATCACATGGACAAGGCCATTAGGAAAGCCACATTTCTCTGACCCTCAATTCTGGGCTGTGTATGCCCATCACCAGCTAAATCAGACCATAACCTCACTTGTGTCCAGCTAACCAGAGCTCGCAATCAAATGGCTTTCAGCACAGCCCAGAGCCGTAAAGTCACTAACCCTGTGGCTCAGGACGACAGCAGAATTCAGGTGCTATCAAACAGATAGCTGTATAAAAGCACCCAAGCTGAAGCTAAGCATTTAACAATTCCTAAGCAACTGATAATTTATAAGCAACCTGAGGTCTTCCCTCTGTTTCAGCCACTCTTAGGATGGAGGTGAGACCCCTGCGTTGGGCAGCACACTGATGGCAGACAGAAAGGACCAGCGAAGGGAAGCAGGAGACAGAAACTAAGGAGAAAAAGCAGCCCTCCCTATGGGCAGGCAGCAGGCAAGTTTCTAGTCTTGTTTTCAAACCTCCAGGCAGTGCCCTTAGTTCTGGATGCTGCTGATTTTTCAATCCTGCAGCTCCTCCTTAAAGTCGGGGTGATTTGCGCTGCTCGTATTGATGAGCTAATATTTCCTTGCAGCAGTCAGAGTCAGGAGGAACCAGCACACACCACTGAAAAGGAGCCCTCCAGAGGCTCTCCAGACAGGTCAGTGTCCTTGCACAACTTTTACTCAGAGAAACAGGCACAGAGAAACAACCTGCAGCAGTCAGAGCCAGAAAGAAGAGATTACTGGAGTTATTCTTGCCCGGTGGCTGTAGTAAAACCTTTGACCTGTGCCCTACTGAAATGTCACAAGGTCCTCCAAGGAGAAAGGTTGAGAGCAGTGCAGAAAGGTCTGCGAGTGGTTTTTGAGGTGTTCAGGTCACCCAATGCTGGGCTGGAATATTCGATTCCTATCACTCCCGGGGCATCATTACATCAGGCAAGCATAAAACTGAAGGCAATCCCTATTCTTGGGAAAACTAGCAATGCTTAGTCTCAGCCAGAGAAGCTTATTTTGGGTATGAGCAGTCGAGCAAGATACATCACAGCAGAGAAGCTCGGCCATTTCTTTGGAGCAACTGGAGAAAAACCGGTGGTTTGGGTGTAGCTCTGGCGGCAGCCGCTCATCCATCTGTCCTGCCACTGCCTACTGTCTGTCGGCTTCCTGGTGCAGAAATGAGATTTAACTGAAACCATGGATGAGCGATGCCCTCTAGTGGGTTTGGCTCACCGGGAACTGGAGGAAGCCCCATCCATGATGTGCCCACCCAAGGGACACATCCCTGGGCTGCCCGGGACTGTCTCCACCAGCCAGTTCTTAAGGCACTGCCTTCTATCAAAGCTCTCAGCAAAAGCATCCGCCTCATCTCAGGCACATCCTCAGGCAGGGAATATAACTCCAAAAATCCAAATGAACATTGATGGTGTTTCCCAGGCCCGTATTTTGAATATATGGATACAAACAAGTTTTTCTGGAGCCATTGGATTTTCATTTGTGATGAGAAACATCCTGCAGCATTCCCAGCTTAAGGTATCGATACCCCCTGCACCTCAGTCTTTCCCAAACCCTGGGAAAGGGTTTCAAAGCCCTCCGCTGTACCACTGTAACCATTCACTGTTCACCTAAAGCCCTGAAAAAAGAACAATACCATAAGAATGCTGGTTTCCCACCTGCTGCAGGCAAGGGACTGGAAGCCATTTCTGTGCTGAGAAAATTACACCAACCTCAGATGGTCTGTGATTTCCCAGGGTTGTTAGGTATCTTCTTCAAAGGCTTCCCAGATCCGTTCTGGCTTGGGTAGAGCCCATGAGAGGGAGCCTGGGTAGGAGAGACTCTTCTGCCTTATGAAAAAGCAGCTTTGTTCAGGGTGCACAGGAGCATAAGTGAGCCAGTTTAGGGAGGATGTGTCCCCAGACAAAAGGAATTCCCTGTCATTTGGCTAGCAAGCCAACACAACTCAGGCAGGCTTACAAAACTGATTCAAATCAGTGGGGGATTTCCTCTCATGTGACTTCTGTGACTTGGCTGTCTGTAAATGGTGTTTCAGTACACATATGAGAAGTAACAGAGCCCCATCAGTCAGACCTTGGAGATCACAAGACGTGCTCTTCATTGCACAACAGGGATAAGTGTTTTTGATCTGGCTTTTAGAATCATAGAATCTATTTGAGTTGGAAAAGACCCTTAAAGGCTACCTGGTCCAACTGCCAAGCAGTGAACAGGAACACCTACAGCTCCACAAGGTGCTCAGAGCCCTGTCCAGTCTGACCTTGAGTGTCTGCAGGGATGGGGCATCCCCTGCCTCTCTGGAGAACCTGTGCCAGTGCTTCACTACCCTCACTGTAAAACACTTTTTCCTTATATCCAATCTAAATTTCTCTTTTTTTATTTTTATTTCCCCTCATCCTTTCCCTTTAGGACTCTTTCTTTCTCCCTGCTCCCTGATGCCATTAGGACTAGGCTTTGTTGCACTCCCAGAAAGATTTAGGAGCTGCTGCTTGAAAGAAAGGTACTAAATATCATGAGGCTAGTGCTAGAAATACAAAAGCTATCTTCATTTAGGTTGTTAACGATCTGCAGATCTCCCTGTTCTTGCCCCTGATGGGCTATCCCAACGCATTAACACATTGTGCTTCTTCCCCTGAGGATGTGAGCATTTGAACAAGAGCCTCCTACGAAGCACCCAGCCACCTGTGCTAACTATAGCTATTAGTTTAATTGAAAAGCAGGAGAAGCCCAAGTGCTCAGGTTTTTTCCTCTCTTTGTCTGCCCCTTGCTGGCTTGTCTGCTGAAGCCCTTTGCTGAAGAAGTGGGTGTGCTGCTTCCCACCAGCTCCAAAAAAACAATGCGCTTTGGCAGCCCCGGGTCCGAGTTATCAGAACCTACATCCTGGCACGAGACCGAAGGAAGCCTAACCCACGTCAGCAGAAACTGCTGCGCCGTAACAGCCTGCTCCAGCCTGCCCTGTACCCAGCCCTCAATCTCTGCTGCAGGATGCCACAAAACAGCCACGGAACTGAGTGACAGTGCAGAGGGCAGGGTTTACATCCCAGCCTCTCCCTACCAGCAGGAGGGTTTAAGGTTCACCAGCTCACCTGTCAACTTTGGCACCATTTTCCAGGAGCTGCCGGCTTGCCTTGCCTGAGTTTCGCTTTTCTTTTCCTGCAACAAGGAGGCAGCCAGGGAGGTCGGACGAGGCTGTTATCATCTGTTGAGGCCGTTCCCGTCCTCTGCGACCCCCGTGTAGGAAGAAAGCAAGGCTGCGTACAGGTAACTCTTTCCTCTGCCTTGTACGGCTGCACCCACCTCTTCCAAGCCACCTGTCCCCCCCAGACCCATGGGAGTTGCCTTCCCACCAAAAAACAGCCCCTGATCATGGCCATAAAGGCAGCCCACTCTCTGAATCCCCAGCCAGTGCAGGGGTCTCTGCTTGCTGCTAGCTTATTTCTGTCCATCTGGGTCATTAATGACCTCAGCTCAGAGGAGATTGCATTGAGAAATCGGCACTACGTCTCTCCAGCGCTGTTTGCACACGGAAGTGTTTGTGCAGCTCAGGTTTTTGTGTTTCCTACTAAACTTTGCTTAAGACTGCTTGTACACCAAGTGACTGCCACTGAGCTGAACGTCAGCAGCAGGAAAGTGGGGAGGCAGTTTGCTAGCACCATCTGGGGCAAAAAGACCTCATGGGCCAAACTTGCAGGGCTGGGCACTGCAGAATCACAGCGCATGGGCAGAAGCACAGATTCACAGAATTGTTGGAGTTGGAAGGGACCTCTAAAAGCCATCCAGTCCAATTCCCCTGCAATGAACAGGGACAGCTACAGCTCCATCAGGAGCTCAGAGCCCTGAGCCCAGCCTGTAATACTGGGGTCCTGCTTTTTCTAAGGAGCTTCTACATCTCTACAGAAAGTCAGCAAGCATCTCGCATGGTTTTTGTGTCTTTTAGTTTAGAGCTTCTGGTTTGGAGAGACTCAGCTTTATGTGCTGCTGTGCAGGGCCAAGGTTTGGAGACCCTTATGGGGCATTTCCAACTCGGGATATTCCGATTTATGATTCTATTTGTTTTGCTTTCTTGCTGTTCTCCTCGGATGAAAAGGGAGGTGCACCCCCTGCATCTTCTCAAGACGAAAAAGAAATTGTTTGGCAAAGCTTCCTGTCCTTAATAGCTGTTTGCTTGTAGGAGAAGTTTGAAAGGAAATTTTCCTGCAATTGCAGTAATTGTTGAGTGAGTTTTATTCAAGTATCAATGCAATCTTCTGGGGTTAAATTGAGATAGCTTCAGGGGCATTTTAAGAAGCAGCAGTATGAAATAATGAGAAACAGAGCTCATATACAGATGAAATTCAGACAGCTTCTTGTGAAGGCAGCCTGCATTGATTATGGGGGCAAACAGGTGAGGCACAGAGAAAAATTAAAGGCCTGAAGCCTGCCAGATTGCAGGGGAGAGATTGAAATGAAGGGACAGGCAGCATGCAGAAACAAGGGGCTTTTGTAAGAGGAGGGAGACACGGGGCTGAGAGAAGGGCATGGGGTGTGAACCCACTGCTCAGAGACTGAGTTGGATTATCCCAGTGTAACTTTTAACCCAATCCCTCAATAAGTGCACAATGTCAGCGTAAGGTATCCCAAGAAGGGGTGCTCAAGAGCAAGGCACACTCCTAATTTATGTTTCTCTGTCAGCAGCTCTCCCCAGCATGTCCTTAAAGAACATTTCTGCGTCTTCAAGGAGATGCATGCAAACAAATCTCCTTGTCCACATGCAAGCATGCCTCTTGCATCAGGTTTCTTCTTAAAGATTTCCACTCTCTGATCACAGCTGATAGTCCAAGGCAATGGCAGGTACACTGGGCTGTTATGTTTAATTCAGCCTATTTTGAAGCCAAACCACGCTCACCCAACTGCCACTGGTAGTGAATTCATGCTGGTGGACCTGGGATCACTGCTGACACATTGTGATGGAGCCAATTTCCTTGCAGGACATGGCGCAGACAGTGGTGCCAGGCAGCTCCCCGGGGGATAACCGTCCCACCTACATCTACAAGATGGTCCTGCTGGGAAACACATCAGTGGGAAAGTCAAGCCTTGCCTACAGATACGTGAAAAATGACTTCAAGGAGTCGCTGCCTACTGTAGGATGTGAGTGAGCTGCTTCGATCCATTTCCTTCTGCCTTGTGCTGTAAGCAAAGCCACATCCAAACCACAGAGGCTCGATTTACTTCTGCTCATTGGAGGCAGCTTAGCAGCAAAGTGAGGGAACCTGGGTTCCAAATCATACAGTCCCATCTGTCTTTTACATGTTTGGACACCTACACCTGTTTGGACACCTACACCTGTTTGGACACCTACACCTGTTTGGACACCTCAGAAGCATCTGCTCGAGGTTCTTCACCCAGGTGTGGATCCAGGAGCACAGTGGGGCAAACCTCTTTCCCACTGTTCTGCTCTGCCCAACCATGCTGAACAACCCCAGGCAGGGCACACATCAAAACTTGTGTGTCCACCCAAAGCTGCCAAAAAGAAGGGCCACCAGCCCTGCTTGGTGACACGCTGTCCCTTCAAGTGTTACTGTATAATCAGTGAATATTAAGATGTTATAATTACAAAATAAACAAGAGAGTTAGGCAAAGCAGATGATGATAACAAAAAGAGAATAGATAGAAAGCTCACCTGTGTCCTGAGCTCACTCACAAAACTCCAGCAGAGCAGATCTCCAGAAGAAATTCTTCCCTACTGGTAGCCAGCTCTCAAATAGGTCTAGGAGCACAGCTGAATTGCCTTCACCTGTGCTCCTCTGGCTGACTCATGGCTCACTTCAGGTTATCAATCAGAGGTTCAGGCCGTGACTGAGCAGCTCACATACAGCTGCCCACCACCAGTCCATGGCTATGCTGTGAAACTCTTCAGGTTCAGATAGCTCTATTGGACATTGCTGTGATCTCCTACCCTGTTGTCATTCACAGCAGCTACCACAGCAGTGGTGTTGTCATCAAAGCAGACATCTCCACGCCAAACTCTACACAGCACCATGTGAGCTGATTGGCTCAGGGTGCCTTTGAGAAAAACCCATCCAGTTTTGTGCATTGCAGCATTGTCACCACCCCTACAGCAGCAGACCAGAGCCCTCCACCACATATCTTGCAGGCTCCTTCTTCACACAGACAATCCAACTAGAGACAGCCACCATCAAGCTGGAGATCTGGGACACGGCTGGCCAAGAGAAGTACCACAGTGTCTGCCACCTCTACTACCGTGGTGCCCACGCTGCACTCCTTGTTTATGACCTCACTAATAAGGTGAGATGGTGGATGCACATCCTGTCCACATGAAAACACTGCTATGTGGCAGTGGAGCTGGTGGGACAGGCATCCGGATGTGTCCCTGATAAAGCAGAAGGGATCACAAACTCTAAGCAAATAAGTGTCCCACTGGGATGCATCAGCAACCGCAGAGCCCAGGGGCTCCTATCAAAGTTTCCTGTATCTGCATCAGGAGTGGCTATCCCTTTTCCCCAGGAAACATTCAACAGAGCGAAGCAGTGGCTGGTGGAACTGGAGAAGGAGTTCCTTCCTGATGAAATTGTCATTGCTTTGGTGGGCAACAAGACAGACCTGGCTGATGAACGGGAGATTGCAGCTGAGGTGAGCACACACCATGTCCCCTTTGCAAGCATTAAGACACATCTTAGCAGAGCCTTTTCTTCCCACGTGGCATCCCTCTTGCTCTGCCAGGTGGTCTCCCCATTGCTGAGTGGCATTCAGGAGCCCTGCCTTGTCCCCATGGGTCCCCAAGGCTACACTGTCCCTTGGCACAGGGGAAACAATACTGCTCTTCTCCTCCTAGGATGGGGAAGAGTTTGCAAGGAGCAGAAGCCTGCTCTTCATGGAGACGTCTGCAAAATCCAACCACCAAGTAAATGACATCTTTATGGCCGTAGGTAAGGTGGCTCCAGGTGAGAACCAAAGTGGGGGAACCATGGGTCCTGGCTCTCCCAAACCTCCTGTGCAACATGGGGCACAGCAGAGCTGCTCTGTCCCCAGTCTGATGCCACATCCTCACACTGGGAACCAGTGTGAATGCTCTGCTCTACCTCTTGCTATAAGAAGAATATTTAGAGAAGACAATGGGCTCTTCTTGCCTATGCTTCCAGGCTACAGGTGGCTTCTCCCCAAAGCCCAGCTGGCAAGCAAGGGCTGCTTTACAGCTTGTGTCCCTCCTGCCAGGTTGGAGGAGGCAGTGGCTGTGGTGGCACAGCATCGCATTACCTAGGACAGACAACTCCATGCCAAGATGCAGCATTAGAGGTGCAGAGATCAAAGCCACTATGTTTTTTGGGTTAAGTACCCGACCTGGGTATACATACCTGACCTGACCTGTGGCCCCAGCACATCTGTCCTTCAAATGACATCACCACGCTGGCTAGAAGTTGCTGGGAGGAACCTACATGGTGGCAGTAGGGTGGGACAGAGCAGCAGGTGCATCCCAACATGCATTGGCTGACCCCCATGCCCTGACAAGAGAGGTGATGCTGTGGCTCTGTGCTCCCCGTCAGCCCGAGAGCTCCTACGGCGTGAAGGTGAGAAGGCAGCTGTCCCATCCACGAGTGGCAGGCAGCGTTTGGACCTGCGGGCAAGCGGGACGAAGAGGGTGTGCTGCCATGTCTGAGGGGCCACGGGCTCCTCACAGGACGTGGGGCTGGACCTTGTGCTGTTGGCATCGGTGGCCGAGGGGTGACAACACAGGATAGCTCACAGTCAATGTGGAGCAATGATCCTTCTGCCCATCTTCTGCCAGTGAATGCATGCAGACCCTCAACAGGATCTTGTGATGGTGTTCTCCAGAAGTGAGTGGGGAAGTCCACTGTCAAGAAGCAGCCCGGCTGGGGACATCCCCCTGCCCCAGCCATGCGCCAGCTTCCCCAGACTCAAGAGAGTTTGGCTTGTGGAGCCCATCCCAACAACTTCAAGACTTGACTGCCAATAAAAAGCAGCTCATCTTAGCCGCATCCTTTTCTCTGCCCTGGGTGCCAATGTGCAGGAGGTCTGGAGATGGTGAGGACCAGAGCGTGGCAATGTAGTCCTCATCAGATGCTCCAGCTGTCAAGAACTTCTGGTTCCTATGGCCAGGAATCTCCCCTCTCCTGCCCCTATACACCACCACCCTCTGTGACACCTGCCCAGCACTGAGATGGGTGTGGGATGGGGGAATCCTTCCCAGCTTCTTCCTCCTCCTGCCTAAATCCCCTTTGTTAGTTAGGCAGCTAATTTGATAGCAGCTAATTGCCACTTGCCTCATTCCTCCCAGATTAACCCTTTCTTCCTTAGGCAGTCCTGATCCCTGCTGTCCATCCTTAGCTTGCATTTGGGATCCACATCATCCTCACTGCAAACTGGGGAATGGGTAAAGCAATGGAGATTTGTGAGAGGGGTGTCACAGCGTGAGTGAAGCCCTCCCAACCTATGCCATGAAAACAGGGGCTCTGTAGTGATGTGGGGGGCTTGGTGTTCTCAGGGGTGTTGACACTGTGGGGATCCCATAGGATTCTCTTGCAGAAAGACAGGAGAGCCCCCAGGGCTTAATTTTAGGTGATACCACCATCACTAGAGCTCATGTCCTGTCCCACCCCAACCCCCCCCCCCCAAGCACTGGGTTTTGGAGCAGAGAGTCAGCGCTATGTAGGAGGAGAGGAAAAAAGGCTTTTATTGGCATCCCGCATCTTCAACTCAGGCACTTTGCTGCTCCCGGGGGGGCTGGGTGTGCGGGGGGATGCAGGCAGGATGCAGGACAGCCCCCCTGGGTTGGGCACTTTCCCCAAGTGCTCGCCGTCGCCCGAATCGCCCCACGGGCCTGATGCCACGGCCGGTGTACCAGAAGGGGTCGATGTCTGGGTCTGCAAAGAGAGAGACGAGAAACAGTCGGTGCAGTGAGGCACAGCGCGTGGGGAAGAAAGAAAGGGACCGAGGGGAGAGAGGAGTGCTCGGGACTGCCTGCCGGGCTGCTGCAAAGCGACACCGCTCGAACCTATGGGGGGACCAGGGAGGGTCCTGGGGGTTCCCTTACTCCTGCTCTCCTTACTCCTGATTTCCATGGAGTGCACACGGAGGCGGCCGGCGGCGGGCAGGGCCATGCAGGTGAGGAGCAAGCACAGCAGGCAGGTGGCCCCCAGCTTCATCCCCGAGGCTCTCCCTCGACAGCGGCTCGGCAAACGGCGACAATCCCAACCTGCGGGCACATATACAGAGCAATCGCGTTCTGAGGGTGTCACGAAGCCGGCGGCTTCCCTTGGCTGGACCCTGATCTGGTTGGTAGAGAAATGATGGAGAAAGCGCGTCCCTGCCGCGGGAACGCCATCAGGGAATGCCATGGGGGAAAGCCAGCCCCATCCGGATCCCATCGCAGCATCCCGGGACCGGCGGCAGGCTCAATCCCAGGAGGTGGGAGGAGATGAAGTTTGCAGCAGCCCCACCTGCAGCCGAAGCCGTCGGTTCGGGGAAAGCAGCCGTGAGAGCCCTCGCCGCGCTCCCTTCGCCCCGCGCTTACCTCGGTCCCGCAGCGCCCGGTGCCGTCCCGCGGAGCCCAGCGCTCTCCCTGTGCGCCCCGGGGCGCCGCTCGCCGCTTTTATGCCCGGTTCTGTGCTGATGTCAGAAACGAGCCCCGGCGGGGACAGAGCCGAGGCATCTCCCCTCCCCGCCGCCCCCCGCGCTCGCTCTCGTCAAATCAGGAAAAGGATTTTCGTGACTCATAGAGGGCCATAATTTTATCTCCAGCCGGCCGAGGCACATCGCTCGGGAGCGTTCTGATCTCCGTCCTCGACGTGACGCGGTTCGGGACGAGGGGGAAGAATTCCACCCGTACTGGGGGCGGGAGGGGTCGGGAGAGACGCGGTCCCTGCCCGGACGAGCAGGCGCACGGCCGCCTCCAAGCATCCCCTGCTCCGTGGGGCTGGAGCAGCAGCTGGGTACCCCTGGCAGTGCTCACCCCGAGCAGTGCTGCATTGCTTTTCATGCTGCCCTCCAGCGAGGGGGCACAGCGGGGACAGCCGACCCCATATGGCCAAGTGCAACGGGCTGTGTGGGGCCAGGGTTTAACCACAGCACCTGGGCAAAGGGGAGGGCGGGGAGACAAAGCATCCTTAGCTGCAGCATGTTGAAGGATGACACTGTGAAATAAACCTCTGGGTTCTGGACCCTATGTCAGCTTTATTGTGTGATGCAGTGTGCATACATAACCTCTACACAGAGCAGTAAATGTTAAAGCTACAACCTGAACGATGCCTTATTTGTACGCTGCTGAGACTTACAAGGAGGGCTCCAGAGGGTCAAGAGTCTGCCTGACCACCTGAAAGGACTTGGCTTACTGCTGGAATTGAGTACAGCGAGAGGCGTGTGGGTGAGGGCTGAACCATGGCACCAGAGCAAACCCACAGCATTGCTCAGAGCTCAGCGGAGCGCTGCAGGGAGTTGTGCTCAGCTGCTGCAAACCAGCATGGTGCAGAGCCTCCATGGATGCTCCTGGGAGGGGGGGACGTGTGCGTGCATACATGTACACCATGAACTGCTTACAAGCTGGGGAGGGTAAAAGCAGTCATACTGCCATGAGTGTAACTCTTTCCACTTTTTCAACTTCAGGCAAGAAGGATTTCACTTTAAAGAAGGAAAACTGATAGGTAAGTTTCCAGCCTCACAGGACTACTCTGGGATGACTGCAGGACTAATGTCTAAATAGTGAGTTCTCTGCTACGACCAAAGCTAAACCTTGTGAATCATGCTAAAAGTAAAAGCAGAGATGGAGCTGAAGTTTTTAACAAAAATCTCCCCCCTCCCCCCCATCTTCAGTTAGTGGAAGCAGAAAACAGCCAGCCTCAGAGAGTGGGAGGGTGCTCAGGGCCAGTGCAGCCTCCAGGGGACAAAGGCACACCTCCAGGGGACCTTTCTGCAGACTGGAGAGAGCTTGGTACTGGTTTCCTTCTGAGCCTGCTGATGGAACCTTGCAGGGAGAGAAGGCACCTTTGGTCAGACTGACCCCAAGCTGTCTTCCTACTGGTGCAGTGAAAGCTGCTGCCTCTTCCCACAAGCCACACCTCACTCCTGCCCCCATATGAGCCCAGCTGCTTCAGGCAAGAAGCCTCAGTGTGTACCTACTGGGTTTAGTGCAAAGAGTCATTGGCCAAGAGCTTGCTAGGAGCAACACAGTGCAGCTCCCGTGCAGGGAAAGGAAGCTGTGCCCCAGAGATGAGGCAGGACCAGTGCTGGGCTGCACATCAGGCCCTGGGACACTGTGCTTTACCGTGGGGACCCTTCCTCTGGCATCACCACCAGTGGTTCTCACAGTGTCCCTAGTGGAAGGGACAAGGAGAGCAGCATCCTGCCCAAACAGATGTGGTCCTCGTGATTATCCGGCCATGTGTCTGCACTCCTGCAACTTGTTCCTCTCTCTTCCAGCTTCCAGGGGGATGTGGCCATGGGAGAAGGAGGGGCAAGCACTGGGGGAAGGCTGGGTGCTGAAGTCCCGCACTGTCACTGAAATGCAGTGGCGGGTGGGCATCCCCTCTTCAGGACAAGTGGGTCATCACTGGCTTCTGCAAGGCACGAGAGGCAAGACATCAGCACCGCTGTCCCCTGTGACATGGACAGCATATTTTCTGTCCCTCCTGGGGCTCTGTGGGTTGGAGGGGAGCACTGGAGGATGGGGTACCACTGCCAGCCTGGCCACGTACCGCAAAGAGACGCTCCACTCTCCTGTTCTTCCCATTGGGGTTCCTCTGCGTCAGCGAGCCGCGGTAAACCGAGTTGCGGTCAAAGGAGTCATCGAAGCCTGTAATGGAAGAAGAGGCATGAGGTGAGGCTGGGTAGTGCTCCAGCTCATGCAGAGGGGATTAGGCTCTCCCAGTGACGTCTGGCTTGATGGAGCATCTCTCTATCTTCTTTGCAGGACTGATGTGTCCTTGAGGCTGCCTTTATGTGCCTGCCCATTGCCTTAGGAGAATGGATGACTGAGGAGACCTTTACACCTACCAGCCTGTGCCTGGGAAGCAGAGCTTTTAATTGTCTCATATGGGGAAACGCAATTCCTTCTTTGCATTAAGTGATCTTTCCCCTCCTTTCCTCCACTCATCTTCTATTTGGCATTATCTGGAAGGAGAGCCATTCCTTCTGCCTGTAAGCGTATGAGGCAAGATAACGGAAATAGAAAAGTCATTTCCTAATGGCATTTGCTGATATCTGTCAGGATGAAACTTTTCCTGTGATTGCCCTCTGCCACATGGGCTGCTGGGCTGAGTTTCAGGTCACGGCCTACTTTGAAGCACTCCCAATCTGCCATTTTCCACAGCTTGGCTCTCAACGTCCCAGTGGGACCAGTGGCAGAGATGGGCAAATAGCAGGGCAAAGGATACCCTTCCCCAGGGTAATCAGTGAGAAGAAATGGCTAAGGAAAGCTTAGGTGGGGTGTTAAGGGCTAGTTTTGAAGGCAGAGCCACTAGGGTGGTAGAAGCCCACACTGCAGAGCAGTGGCCCTTGGGGCAGGCAGTTGTCTGCCACCAAGACCTGTATGGCAGTCACCTCACCCTGTCCCCAGCACTGACCCTGATCCTCCACCACAGATGAGGTCTCCTCTGTAGCTGTGCTGGCAGGACACAAGCACAGGGAACAGCATTCCAAAAAGGGAGAAAATAGGAAGAGAGAGATAGAAATGACCGAGCATCTCATGAGCTGAGGTCATCCCACAGACAAAGCCGCAGCTCTTACCAGTGATTTCAAAGGGACTGTTGAACCTCCTCCTGAGGACCTGGGGCCCAGGCATTGCCTGCAAGAGAGGGAAAGCAGTCTGTGGTGGGTAGGAAGACACAGAGGATGCCCTCCTGCCCTTGCTGAGCACTCAAACCCACATCCTGGAACACAGGATTAAGGCTTATTAAACACATGCTAGACACCTACCCACCTTAACATCATCCAAAGACTCCCCTGGACTGCTGGTGGGGGTGGGGGAGCAGAGGTGGAAAGCCTGCAGACAGAAAAGGGGCACAGGTTCTCTGTGTTTGCTTCACCCCAAAGCAGCCTCCCATCTCATCCTCAGTGAGGCTCAGAGCAGCCAGGAAGGAGCTGGGAGCAGCCAGGCAGCCCCTCCCTGTGCTCACAAGCCCCCTCCTCCCCACTCACCTGCCCATTTGATTTCTTCCTTGCCTTTTCCACCAGCTTCACCGTCAGCCCCGCAGCAGACAGAGCCGCGATTCGAGATTCAATATCCGATATCTTTAAAGGGAGGGAAACAAAACAGGTGGGCAGAGTGTGGAAGACTGCCAACCAGCTTTGTTAGCTGGGCTGGAGGTGAAGTAGCTCCTGATGAGCCCTTACCTCGCTCTCTGCCTGCTGTACCTGTGCAGCTGCTGAGGCCACTTTGTCCTCCAGCTCCGACAGCTCCGAGTCGGTCGTGCTGCAGTGCCGAGCCCCTTCCTCGAGCTCTGACAGGGTTGTCTCCAGCTGATAGGCCTTCCCAGCAGCCAGGTAGACCTGGAATAGAAAGAGAAAAAAAAGAATAGGTTGCACCATTAAGCTTCCTGCTTGCTCCTCCCCTTCATGTGAACACAGCCCCTGCTGCTCTTCTATGGCCCCCTTCCTGCCCTGCAGCCCTGGCAGCACCCTCAGTTCTGGCAGGGCTCTTTGTCACTGTGTGTCCCATTGGAAGGAGTTGTGTTACTCAAGTGCTGTTACCGCCCCTTGGCTACTACTCAGATGCAAGACCAAGCAAAGCAATTTAGTAGAAGTTAGATTGTCTGTGCAACAACATCAGAAGGCCACAGTTCTGCTGAATGATCCCGAAATCTTGGTACTGCTAATGCATGACCTGCTCCTCTAGCCCTCTCTGCTGGCATGCTGAGCACCCACGTGTGCCATGTCCTGTAGGTCCCCACTGACCCCACTGCAAGCCCCGAGGCAGAGTGTCCATAACCAAGTGCAATCATTCAGTTTATGAGTCACAAGGGCACCGTTTGCTGCCAGGCCATTAAACATCATTAAGCATCCTCAAGGCAAGTGGCATCCCTTAAAGTGCAACTGGTGGGACATGACTCACCAGGGACCCGAGGGAATGGTGGGATGAGCACATGGCTCCCACAGCCATGAGCAGGAGAAGCAGGAAGCCCAAAGTTTGCTCTTGCACCAGTCAGCCCTCCAAAGGAAGGAGCGTGGCTCACCTGGACAGCAGGAGGGGCTCAGCATCATCAGATAGGGCAGTGGGGATGTCAGAAGGCATGGCTGGCAGAGCACAGATGTGATGCCCAAGCTCAGATCTCCAGCTACAGCACTTAGCTAGGAGGACCTTTGTGTCTATGAACTGTGAATAACCTACTGTTTGAGGCATATAAGAAAATCAGAGTGTGTCAACCCTCGGTTAATCCTTTTGAGGCAAACAGAACTCTTTCCTTCCCCTAAACTCTACCCTGAGCCTCACAACCTGCAGCTGGGAGGCTTGCATCCTTACACATAGATGCTTGTGGTGCCCAACCTTTGACCTCCAGAATGCCTGCTAATAAGAAGCTTGGGGGGGGGTCCACTGTACTCCCTCCCCCAGTTCCCTCCTTGCTCACAGAGGCTCTGGGGAACCTTACATTTTCCTCAAGCTCACGGTATGCTTCAGCCGCCTCTTTCCCATCCTCCATGCTGAGATGCAGAGCACAGCCATCACTGCCCCAGCTCTGTCCTTGCAGTGACTCAGAGACCGCTTTCTCCGTGGCATTTATGGCTCTCAGTGCTTTGGCCGTGATTTCACTCAAAGCCTGAGCTGAGGACCTCTGTGAATGCCCAGTCAAAGTGCAGGAAGGGGTGAGGAAAAAAAAAAAAAAAGAAAAAAAATAATTTCATTATTTTGACGTGTGCTTGTAGTGTACAACTCAGCACAAGTAGGCATGGAGAGGCATCAGGCCTATAGCAGCCAGTGGAAGATAGAAAAGGGATAATGAAAGGGCTTAAGGGCTCTCTAGTGGGGCTGAAAAAGTGGCTGCCCAGGGAGTGGTGGGGGTCACCATCCCTGGAGATGTTCCAGAGCCATGGAGATGTGGCACTGAGGGATGTGGTCAGTGGGCATGGCAGGATGGGTTGGTGATCTTAGAGGTCTTTCCCAACCTGAATATTCAATGATTCTCTTAGCCTTTCTCCTGCCAGGTTGGCTGGTTGTGATGCCGCACTGGAAAAGCATGTAAGATGTTGGATTGCCCCACTGCCAGAACCTGGGGCTGATATCCTTACCTCCCACCCCAAGGAGCACTGACAGCTGTGACACCTCTAAGTGCTGCCCTAGCCCTTTTGCTAGGTAAGCCATAAAGCACACGTAAAAATAGACCCAAGAAGCTCATCATCCCTCTCTCAGCTGATAATTCCCTAGAAACCAAGGAGATTGGGGTGATATGTGCACTGGAGACAAAGACAAACAGTTTTGTTTACCACTGCACGTATTCCCAGGCAAGCCACTCTGCAAAGAACCAGCTAACTCAGCCCAGATGACACTTTTATCACTTTATGGTGCCCTCATGGTACAGCAGAGTTTCACACCACAAATGCTGCTTTTATCTGAGTGCTCCCCCATTAGAAGCCTTTTTTCCTGACTGGATGGGACTTGCATAGAAACCAACTGAGGATTACGTGAATTCCAGACCCAGGTCTGGATTTGGTCGTGGAGGTGGTGCTGGGTTTCGTTAGGCTTTGTGCTCCCTGCTTCTGAATGCGCTCTGAACTCAGTTCTGATAACTGCAGATCATTTATGTCAGAAAGTCACTGGGTTTTCTCATGAGACACCCTTAGAAATCTCTCAAAAAAACCCCCACAAGGCAGGTTGCTGTAAAAAAATAGGCACTGACACAGCCTTTAACCCAAACTCCTCCACCTGCACGTCACTGCAGTCACCTCTCACTCAGTTTTATGGTATTTGTTGCCTTTGCTCTGAGTGTCATTGCAGTGCAGAAGGCTGGATGTCTCTCCCAGCTTGGGAGCTGAACTGTGTAACCCCCATGTTACCTGCCTGACCTTCACCACTCTGTTTCATGCTTATGGCCCTATTAGGGAATATGTGGGGAAAAATGGGACTGCTACAGGTCTGGAAGAGACATTTCAAGATGCAGCAGGCAGCTGCCAAGGGCTGCCAGTCCCAAATTGTCACTGAGCTCTTCTCTTCCCCTCTTCTCCATAGCATCCCTGTAATGGAATCCAGGCCCTGAGATAAGTGTGTAATACTCTACTGCATGGATGTGGATGTTGCACCCCTTCCCATGATGGGCAGTAGTCTTTCAGACCTCTAAGAGAATTTATTTTCAACTCTTTGATCAGTCTAGGAGAGCCTACAAGTCTTCCTAAGGTGAAAGGTCTAGATCCAATACCCTGGGACTTTTCTATTCCTAGCTGGACTTGATCTGTGTGGGTCATCCTTTCCACCTTAGAATGCCCTATGATACAGACAGCAGATCCAGACAAGCCACAGCCCTGGAGGCATCAAGCTGATGTGAGACAGAACAAGAGACCAGTCATGGTACACGTGAGGACACAGATTACCTTTCGAGCTTCACTGGCCACGTCATCGCTGGAGGAGCTCATCTCAGGTCTCTTCACTCCCTTCCTTTCTTCACGCTCCTCTTCTTCAGAAGAGACTTCTCTGTCACTGATGTTGCTGGTGAACTCCTCCAGCTTCCTCTTCAACTCCTCCTCCTCAGCATCAGGATCAAGCTGGGACTCTGTGGCCAGAGACTGAAACAACAGTAGAAGTGAATTGTTCACACAGAATTTATTTGGTTTTCCCCTAAAAAAAAAAAAACAAAAACAAAAACAAAGCAACAAAACCCCCAAGGGATTAGGGACCAGAAATCACCACATTTTCATTTGTAGCCATGGTGTGGCTGGCAGCTCCAAGGACATAAACCCCCACCACCCAAAGGCAGTGCACCAGGCTGCAAGGAGAACCTCCATTTCCCCAGCTGTGCTGAATCAGAGCCTCTCAGTACTGATTTGTGATGAGAAAACACTCAGATTTACCAACAGGAACACCAAATAGCTGTCCCCATTACAAGTTTTGGGAAGAATAAGACATTACGTTGTTTCTCCCCCGTGCCTGAGGGACTGCTCTGTAATTATTACTATCCATCCCACTGAGTCATTAGCAGCCAGAGCATCTCATTGCAATGGGTTCACATGAAGGAAAAGTACACAGCCTAAAATTAGAGACCCAAAAAATCAATGTTAAGCGACCTATGCATTCACAGATTCTGCATCCTCACCCAACTTTAACTTAATTTAGCTGTTTCCTTCAGAGCCTAATGGCATAGCAAGACAAGAGCAGCCCAGAAGAGATACAGAAGTCCTTCTTGACTCAGAGCTCTCATCTAAAATAACCAAATCACTTTTCTATACATAAAGATTGATTCTCCTATGAGCACTCAATAGAGAATCAAAGTGAAACATGGCTTTCCTTGTGCAGAAGAGGCCTGGCACTAGCTTGCACAGGGACCCAGATGTCCTAGGTTAAGCTTGCCTCCATTTCTGTCCAATGATGCAACACTTTTGCTATTTGAATCAAGAGGAGTTAAGCCCTGTGGGGAGATGGGCCAAGCTTTTTTTTTTTGCAGTCCCACTTTAGGGCTGCCTCCCCTCATCATGCTGCTTTTGGGGTGACCCCGGGAGCTGATTTCTCCCTGAAACTCTCTGATAATGAGGAGAAGGGGCCAGTGAAGCCCTCTCTCCCTCCCTGTTGCCCTGTTACCTCAGCAGAGCGCACCAGGATTTTTTCCTCCAAGCGGTTCAGCACGCGTTCAATCACTGACATGCGTTTGTTGAGCTCGTGAATCTAGAGGGAAGGAGAAAGCATAGAGAACAGACCAGCCACCATTGACAGGACAGTGGGAAAGGAGCCCAGGGTGCATGCAACCAGCAAAAGTAAAAAAAAGAATCACAGAAACACTAAGGTTGGAAGAGACCTCTAAGATCATCTAGTCCAACCGTTGACCCATCCCCACCATTCTCACTAGCCACGTGTGAGAGACCAAGATACCAAAATATCACGTTGTGTTGGGCATCAGAGAGTGAAGGACTGTTACCCTGGGCACCCTGAGGAGCTTCACGAGGTGCAGAACCTCTCCTCAAAACTCAAAGTGATGCTACATCCATGGGATGCTGTAAGTCCCACCAGAGCATTGGGAGCTTCGGCGTGGTGACCACAAAACCTTCCTACCTTGGTCTTTTTCAACCTGCTCATGCACTTACCCCGTGATCCCCTGCTGAATACATCACTGGGAAAGGAAGGGGGTAGAAGGGAGGAGCTTCCCATGAAAAATTCCCAATCAGAACACAAAACTGAAAGTTGTTCCCAACACACTTTGAAGTTTTTCCTCACTTCTCAATGCTTTGATCTGCCAGGATTCTCAACCCTCTTTTCCTCCTCCCTCTACCAGCTGAAAAGAGAGGAGGAATAAAGAGAAATAAGAATTCTGAAAATCACAGAGAAATGGCTTTCCAGGCTCAAGAGCCACAACAAATTTTTTTTGTGGTTAAATGACTGAAAGCATAAAAGGAACCTCTTCATTTTTCCTCCTTTCAGAAACGAATATTTTCTCTCCTTCAAGACTGGGCCTTCTCCTTTGATCCAAACAAATAAAACACAAATGATGTAAAATATTGCCTGTTCCACACGGATAAAACACTGCATGCTGCATCACTCCTGCTCCGTGTGGCTGCCTCCCACTCAAAGGGGACGAGCAGCAAATGCAATAAGTGAATGGAGCAACAAAGAGACGCGAGGGCTTCGCTTTGTTTTTGTAACATTTCCACCCTCTCACTGAGTTTTTGTGCTGGCTGGTGTTTGATTAATTAGATCCTCACAACAGCTTGCATCTGCTTAAGTGAAGATGGATGTAACAACCTGGCACCTGGGGAGAGCAAAGCGTTGCAATTACTGCCCCGAATTGAATGAGCCTTTAAGCAGCATTAAACCCACAGGCTGGAAGCAATCCGCGCCAGCTCTAAGTGGTTTCTCACTATCATTGGGCCTGACTCTTGCAGCACTCTGGTGACAATGAGAAGCCTGTGATGGACCATAAACTTCAGGAGAGGGGATGGATGTGAGCTCAGCATCTGGTACTGTCTGCACTTCCTGTAAGCAGCTCGGAGAGGTCGGAGCACAATGCAGAGCTGGCTGTCAGCAGGTTACAGGGAGAGGAAGAGCTGGTTTTCATTCTCCTTCCTGAGCAAGGCTGGCTTTAGTGCCCAGTTATCCCTGTGCAAAGCAAGGTGCACCCCAGTAGGGTGCATCCCATTAGGGGCTGGTCCACCTGCACTGCTCTCTGAACGACAAAGGCTGGTGAATACATCTCCACTAAAACACTTCAGATGAACCAACTTCAGCTTATTTCTGTGCTTTAAGGGGTGCTCTGGCTTTCTCTCCCCTTTGGGCTCCTCTTGGCTTCTCCTGGGCTAGTGGTAGCAGCCATACCTGTGTTGCTGTGGGGTTAATGGGCCAGCCCCGTTTCCTCCTGCTGGGCAAGGGGCAGGCTCTGCTAGCTGTTGCTAGCTGTAAACCCATCAGCCACATAAAGGGCAGGAAGGATGAACAGCTACTTAAGCTAATGAACGATGCTGGCATACGAACAAATGGGGTTGAATTGGGAATTAGGAGATGCCTTGTAACCATTAGGTACCACCCATGCCTTCACGCTGTTGTGACAGCAAAACACCAGGCACACTGTTCCCAAACCAGGGCTGGAAGTGGAGATGAAGGAAGTCATCTGGAGTACCGGTGGGAATTTGGCCCCATTTCCCCACTGCAAAGCACTGTGCACATTTCATGCCTAACGGACTGTGGGCTCATTAACGACACCCAGGCTGAGCTTTTTCCATTTGCAGTGGGCTGGAAAACAAAGCACGTCCACCCATTTGAACATATGCTGAGAGAAATAAAGGCCAAAGGACAGATGCCCCCACGGAGGCACACAGAGCTCAGCAGCACCCAAGATGTGCACAGCTGTAAGTGGAACCAGCACACTTCTCCCCTTGGAAATCTGTGTGGTCAGACACCAACGTGCATTTTGCTGCTGAAGAGGGTCAGGGAAGGCTTAACCGTTCTCATCCTTTCTCAAAGGTGATGACAAGAACTGCAGGTCCTCACTTGACAATTAAAACAAGCGCACAGCCTTCCTGACACCCTTCTCTAGGCTGTTCCCCTATTATCACTTGGCAGAAATGCATGACAGGTCAGCCTGTCCCTGTCCTACTGAGGCCAGAATGCTCCACGCTGCCAAAGAATAGGATCTCAGGGCTGATTAAACATTCCCCTCCAAGCCTTGATCATAAAGCCCATTCACTTGATGAATGAGGACACGTAAAACTATAGGTAGCGTGCAGATTAATGGGGGCAGGCTGGAAATTAACAGCATTGAAGGCAGGCTTGTTACTGCATCAACAGCGGGTACAGTTTCTCCCAGCCATGACCATAGAAGTAGAAGGGCTGATGTGAGGAATACTGTGTAATATTAATGGGACAGAGAAAAGCCTGATCTCTTCATCATGAGGAATGGATGAGCAGAAAACACACCTTCCCACTTTCCCAGCCTGACTTCCCATTTCATGGCCACCTCTGCATAGCCCAGAGGGCTGAGCATGGCCTGGGCATTCATCCACCTGGTGCCACACAACACCACCATGCGACACCAAGCAGATGTGACAGCCTCTAGGCCACCCCACAGGTGGCACTGTTTGGTACCTGACTTCCCGAGCTGTGGCTGATGTTCTCCTGGGAGGAGGCTCTGCTCCGGCGTTTCAGGTGGTGAGGCAGGCAGGCAGCGAGCTTTGGGGCTCCCTTCACATCCTCATCAGAGGTGTCCATGTCTGCAGAGTAGAGGGACCGGGGCTGCTCCATCCAGGGGCTGCCTTTGGAGGGAGAAGGCTTCAGTATGAGGACTCAAGAGATACACAGCCCCTAGCACAAAGCCCTGGATGTCAGTCCCATCCCTCAGACAAGCAAATAAGCAGGTCAGTTTACCCCTTCTAGTGGAGTTGCAAGCAGAAGTTCAGCCTGCAGATCCATCCACCTAAACAGGGTGCTGCTGAGCTACAGGTGGGCACGAGGAACATTCCCCTCACCCCCTCAGATCTCAAGCAGCTGAGACCCTCAATAAAACCTGCTCCTGCCTCTTCAGTCATATTACAGCCCAGGTTTGGGCTCCTCATTCAGTCTGGGTGCTGGGAGCAGTTTATCCACATGGAGCATAACTTATGAAAGCAGGGAGGGCATCTTCCCAAGGAGCAATGAGAGCTGGAGAGATCTCTTGGGTAGCTCTTACAGGCATTTTTCCCTAGCAGGGTGCTGGAACCCAGACACTTACCAGGTTTTGAACTTCTGTCCAGGCTCCGTCTGCGTGCATTGAGCGTGAGTCGAACCTCCGTGCTGAAGTGCTGCTCCGGAGGGCTGAGGTGCTGCTCCTGCTCCCTCAAGATGTGGAACACAGCTGCCAGGTCAGCCTCCTCCAGCCGGGGCTCTCGGGGAGCATCCTCAGCTGGGCCAGAGAAATCTGGGAAGGACTGAGAGACGGGGGCTGATGCTGGGACCGCCCTCCCCACCTCCCCAAGCAGTTCCTAGTTTTGTCCTCCAATAGCTGCACGGATTGAGCCTTTATAACACTGATTTTAAGCAACCTGGCTTACAGGCTTTTTGATCTTCACGCTGAGCAATATTTCAGATGACTGCCAGGGGGCACTGTTAGTTTCTATGAGAGCCAGGCATCTGTCAGGCTGACTTGGGCCACAAGATCCAGCCTTTAAAGCATCACACACTTTGACTTGCAAGGTCGCAACAGCCACCTACTTCTCAACAACCAATACATCGACTTTGTTTCAGCCCTCCTTATGCTTGCATTAAATTCCACAGCATAAGGGCGAAACGTAGGTAAAGGACGTACATGTCTATGTAAAGAAAGATTGAACCTGCCCATTTGTCCCAAATCCTGTATTCTCCCAACCAGCTGGCACAAAGCAGTTATTTGTGCAGTTTTTTTTGTGCCCCAAGTTCTCTCCTCTGACAGATGGGGACTTCCCACCCCCCTGGCCACACAGGATTCCTCTTCTGAACCTCACACACAAAGCTACCAGCAAACCACGTCCCCAGTGCATGCAGGAAAGCAGCCCCAAACTGGATTGGATGATGGGAGAGAAAGTTGTTTTCAGCATTCCTTAAGTGCAGAACATTCTGCTCCCAAACACTGGCTGGAAGCTAGGGTGTCCCACAGCCCTGGGACAGCATAGGAAATAGCCAGCAAAGAGATCAGCCCAAATCTGGAAGGAGAGGTGCAAGAGAGTCCTCACCACAGCCAGCTCTCCTGCTCCTGACTCAGGGTTTGGAATGGAAGAAGAAATAGCAGTGCTCTGCACAGAGATCGGCACCGCAGCTTCCCAAAGCCACCGTGCAACCCTACAGCCACAGCAGCAGGAGGAGGACAGAGAGAAAGGCAAGCCCAGTACCTGGAAAGCATCAGAGCTGATGGCCACTGGAGAGAGCTGGGCAGATTGGCGGCGAGACTGGGCAGAGTACTCCGAGTCCAGCTCAAAATCAAAGGGGTGCACGGACAGCAGGCGCTTTGTCTTGCGCATCTTGGCGTGGAAAATGGGAGAAGGGAAAACTCAGCTGGCTTCCATGGAAAGCAGAAGGAGCCCTCGCCTGCTTAGTTTGCAGAATCTGTTTGTGGGAAGCTCTCAGGATGGGAAGCTCCCACTTTTCCTGGAGAACACTGGGTTCTCAGGAGTATCCTGCTTGCAGGGAGCCAGTTAACGTGGGACTGCTAGGACTGAACTCAAAGACCTGGTTTCCTGGGTCTCTGCATCGAGACTGTGGCCATAAGCAGACAGCAAGATGCTCTGCTGGCAAGATTGCTCTGAAGGCAAGGTGAGCAGCTGAACCCCTCAGAAAGAGGCTCAGGAGCTGCTCTTGGGGCCTGAAGCAGCTCCATACCTCTGATCCTGGGAGCAAACCTCCCCAGATACGGGGAAAGCCATGAGCTGGTCTGGGAGTGGGGCTAGCATCAGGAAGCAGAGCAGGGAGCAGTACCCAGCCACCACCACCCAAGGCAGGCTACAGTGCAGCCAGAAGGGGTGAGTGGCTGCAGGGGAAGCCCTTACTCTGTTGTAGCACTCTGCTTCAGCTCCATGGAGCGCATCATCCTCATCACCACTGTCGTCCCCAGTGCCACCATTGGCAGGGTGCTGGCATTCACCTGGAGGAGACAAGGGCATGGTGAGCACAGGCAGCTCCTGCACCCTGACCTTGGGGCAGGCAACCCCCTGCCCTGGTGTCCCACCAGTGCATGTCAGGAAGACTGATTCTGAAACACCTCCTTCAATTTTTATTATTTGGCATGCTGCACTGTGGCTCCTGTGTGGCACAAATAAAAGGAAGGGGACAACGGAAAGAAAAGGAACAAAAAATCCTCTTGGAAGAGCAAAATGTCCCATGGCAAGATTAACCCTCCCTGCAAGAAGAACACAGCCCAAATCCACAAATTCAGCGCATTTGTTACAAACACAGCCAGCTTCAAGCACATGACATGGATGCACTGAGATCACAGTGAGCTCTCACAAGCCACAAGTTTGGCAGGCAACAAAAAGCCCTGTTGTTTCAGAGTCTGCCCTCAGAAGCCCCAAGGGTGCTGCAGGGCAGAGGATGAGCAGCGAGGCTCCTCGTCCCAGCCACACTGAGCAGCTCCGGGGTACCCACAACCGGAGGGAGCAAAAAGAAAAACAGCAGCAACCTCCATCTGACTGCACAACACACACTGCAGTTCTCTTTTTGACTTACTGTTGATGTCTGGCAGGCTGTAAACTCTGTCATGAAGACCTGAACAACAAGAGGAATAAAAAAAAAAAAGGATAAATAAATGTTTTCTCTAGGTAGCTTGTACAGAACAAGCCTCAGAGCAATGCTTAAGCACAGCTCTCAGTCTCTAGCCATCACAAGGCACAGCCATCAAAGGCTCTTTGGAGAGAACAAAGCATGTGCTTGGAGACATAGCTTGACTTGGAAGATCAAGTTGTATATTGGGCACAATATCTTCTCAGAAAGAGCAGTGATGCAGTGGCACAGCTGTCCAGGGGGTGCTGGGGTGTTCCATAACCATGCAGATGTGGCACTGAGGGATGTGGGCATGGTGGGGCAGGTTGAGGTTGGACGTAGGGATCTTAAGTCTTTTCCAACTGGAATGGTTCTGTGATTCTCTTATCGTTTTTAAATATAAAAAGGAATCTCAGAAACGCATGCCACAAGAGTTGTGCTGGTGCCAAGAAAGCAAACCAGCTGCAGAGGTGGCAATCACAGCTGGGCAGACAAACCACAGCCGGGCACACAAACCACAGCCGGGCACAGGCAGAGCCGAGGTGCCAGGACAGGCTTTGAGCCTGGCAGTCAGTGCCCCCTGCTGACAGCGGCTGCTGCATGCACGCACAGCACCCAGGCTCAAACCTCAGACCCTAAAATCCCAAGGGCTCGGCATGGCTGTGGCAGGTTTTGTGCCTGCTGGCTGTACGTGCCAGACAGAGACGTGAAAGCAGGGAGCTGAAGCTGCTCCATCAACCACGCAGCAAGCCTGCAGGCAGCCAGCACAGCCAGTTGTTCAGCTAATTCCTCAGCAAGCTATATAAATCAAGGCGAGAAAGTTAACCCCAGCTGAAGGCAGAGCTTGGACATCCTACCCTGCTGTTTCATGGGTATCAACGCTAAGTTCTCTGGCTGGCATCCCTTCGGGTGCCTGCCCAGCTTGCAGGACAGCAGAAACCCCGGCGCTTGTCCTCACCTAGAAGAGCTGAATTCCCCTTCTGCCCTGGCTGCAGCCTGCCGTAGAGGGACTGCAGCACCTTGGCACTTCCAAACCTCTTGAAACGGGACCGCACGTGCTCGTAGTACCACTCGAGGGAACCGATCTTCACCACCCTGCCCCAGGAGGAAGCACATAGAGGTGAGGCAGCCTCGCCAAAACAGACCCTCACCCCGCTCCCACCCCCGCTGAGCAGAAGGATCGCCCTTAGGGTATGGGGAGCAAGCAGAGGATGCAGAGAAAGGAGAACAGCACGAAGCTGTCCCTGTTCATCACAAGGGAGTTGGACTGGGTGACCTTCAAAGGCCCCTTCCAAGTGAACGATGACAAACAGAGCGTGGGGCTGAGACTGCAGAAACTCTCCATCCCGATGCCCCAGCACAGTGCCCCTACCTGGAGAGGCGGCAGGGGTCACAGACCCAGCCCTGCTCCCTCTTGTTGTAGCGGCTGCAGCTCTTGCAGGTGTAGAAGCGGCAATCCAGGCACTGCCGCTTGCTGTTCAGCAGGAACTTGAAGGGCTGCAGGCAGTGCACGCAGTGCGTTTCGTTCAGGTGGGACTGGTGGGTCAGGAACTCTCTCTTGCTGCTTTCCTGGTCTATCTTGCACTTCAGGTCCCTGCAGACGCATCCCAAAAACAGAGGGGCGTGCATTAGGTGGTGAAATGGCACCCAACAGCAGCTCCCTCCTGCTCCAATCCCTGGACACCTCCAGTACCCCCAAGGAAATCAGTGCTACCACTCTGATTTTTGCATCACTCTATCCATGAGCAGATCCCTCCACTGATACGTTTTCATCCTGGATGCCTTTCCCCAGCACGCAATATCATTTCAGTGAGCTCTGTAGCCTCTCTCACATGGTAAACCCAGTAACGCTCAATCAGCCTAGAGAATGATTTTTCAGGGATCACCTCGAGTCCCACAGCTGGTGGAAACAGCTGGAGGGCAAATTAATCAATAACATATCATGGGGTAAAATTGTGCCCAGCGGAGCAAGGCAGCAGGCTCCACATTTCAGAGCAGGTCCCTATGCATTAGGATTTGCTGCTGCCACATTTCAGATCAGACTTGGCTGTACTAAAAATTGGTTCTTTTTGCTGCACGGGGCATCTCTTTGCCACCAAGCCTCAAAATGCATTTCAACCCAAACCTTTAGGGGCTGGAGGCTTTACCCAAAGGCTTTCTGTTTGTTCTCTGTGCTAGCCCAGGTATGTTTGCCCTCTGGGCTATGGTTACAAGATGGTGTTTGACTTGCAAGAGGCCCTAGCAGGCTTGTTTTCCATCTGGGCAGGGTGAGGGAGCTGCATTTTGCAGGGCAGAAATTGGCCAAGACCAGAAAGCTCAAGCAACCAGGAGGCTTTGCACTGCATCTGGTCACCTGCACCACTGCAAAGCTTCCCCTCTGGAGCTTCCTGATGGAACAGCTTGCACTCAGCACAGAACACAACACATGAAAATAAGCAGTAAGCTTACATGCAGCCACATAAAACAAACCCCAAAACACAAAACCCACCCAGCTGCAGGCTGTGGCAGCCTCACAAACCACCTTCTGAGCACACAGGCCAAGAAAGCAGGTGCTGCACAAACCTAAACTGATCTTAACCCCAGTGGCACAACAGCATTCAGTCCGGAAGAGCAAACAGCAAACAACAAGGAAGAAGAAAGCTTCCCATGGACACTGCTTGCCTTTGAACTCGTGGCACACTGCGTTCATCCATGGCTTCACCAAAAGGGCTGCAGGTTTGGGTGCTGACCCCAAGCTGTGGGCTGCACTCAGCATTCCTTTGCCACCTTGCACCCAGGTTGCTTCCAGCAGGATCCGATCTTTCCCTGGACTGCCTTTTCCTGTTCTCAGAGCCAGTCGGACCCCTTCGCTTCCCCTCCCTCGCCCTCGAGAGCTGCTAAAGGAGGGACAAGCCTCAGCCCAACCGGTTTAAAACCTGCATGCCTCCATCTGTCCGTCCCCGGCAGCCCATCCTTGCGCTGCTCTGCTCAAAGTGAACCAGCAGCAGGGAAGTGGGGAGATGCCAACTGCTCAGTCCCTAAAGCAGGGGGCTCTGGCAGCAAGCTTTATGGAAGGAGGCAACGAGATGCCCCACAGAGGCTGCTCCTGAATTCCTCAGGCACATATTTCTGTGGTTTCTGGGCAGCTGAAGCCTTTGTCCAAGTTGGGTGAATAGCTTCTGACAAAAAACACAGAGGAGGCTGAAAGGGAAGAAAAAGACCAAGTGGGGGAACATTCCTTCAAGGCTTGCATGTTGAGACAGGTCCTGGGAACCAAGTGGGGATGGTCAGAGCAAAGGGAGCAGGATCAATGGGATTCTTCCATCATGTCCCAGCTTGTCACATGCAGAAAACACTCATGTATTCTGTCCAACATGCAGGCACAGGGCAGGCTTGCCCAGCACACCGGATGGTCTGGTATGGCCCGGCTTTATAGGGATACCTGCTGTACCATAAATCTATACCAGCTTTAGCTTGGTGGAGACAGAGAGCTGAGTTGGTGAGCCCACACACACACCTCTGGCTGGGTGACACGCTTGTACTGAAAGATGTTGGCGCTCGGGACGCCTGTGATGCAGGAGAGGTCAAAGCACACTCACCCATTTTCACAGAATGAATTTCAATCACGTTTATCGCTTCCTGCTCGCACAAACCAGGCAAACAGGACTTGCTATCCTGCCAGCAGCTAAATGGATTCCTCTCACTTTGGACCCAACCTTCCTGCTGCCTTCAGCTTTGTTTGTGGAGCCAGTCCCTGTTTTGAAAAACCACACACACCAGCAGCACCTTTCTTTGCGCTCAGAGCTCACCAAATACCTGTCTGCCCCTTAAAGCCTCAGCAGTGCCAGACCTCACAGAGTTAATGCAGATCCTCTGTGGGGCAGGAAGCAGCTAATGGAGCAGAACAGGGCATTTAAAGGTTGCAGCATTCCAGAAGCACCTCTGAGCTCTGCAGTGCTTGTCAAAATGGAAAGCTAAATATAAAAGCAATAAGTGCTGTGACAGGGCGTTGCAGCACTTTGCATCTCAGGTGGGAAGCAGAGGAGCACACAGAAATAAGCTGGGACCACAGGATAGCCCAGCTTTTCCCCTTATTCTTTAGTTATTCCTTTTTTCTTTACCCTACCCGAGTTCGGTGCTTCCCTCTGCCTCATCCCAACCCTGATACTTTCCTCTTTGGAGGCTCAAGGGCTCAGCTGTAGCTGTGCTGACCAACAACCAGACAACATTCCCTATGGGACCCATGCAGGGCACCCAATTAAGCCAGTCTGGCGCCAGGTCAAGTCAGCAAGGAATTCACATCGCCCACTGCTTTGCTGAAGGGCACAGCAATGTCTGTCCCCACCCCCCTCCTCTAGGCAAAGCACAGCTCTGTCACACAGGAGACACTTTCCCTTTCCAGTAATCACATGTTTTCCAGCACCCTTGTCTGGTCTGTGTCCTGCTTTGGAGCTACCAGCTACAGGACGGTGATGATAGGGAATTCTCTCTTCCTCCCACACTGTAATTAGATATGCAATCAGCAGACTCCAAAATTTCCAGCTCAGAGCTCATGGGGAATGGCACACCCCATCCGCCCTGCTCAGCATCCTTCATGCAGGCGGTGAATAGCATCGCTCAGCCCAGCAGATGGGTGCATGCAGGAGTTGTGGCTGGGCAGGGGCTCTTATTCCTGGTTAATCGATGCTAAGGTGCCTGGCCAGACCAACAGGGAGTTCTCAGAAGCACGAGGAAGCCCACTGCAGGCAGAGGAACCTGTTTTCCCACCAGCTGTCACTGTATCACGAAGCACATCACACAATTAAAGCACAGTGTCTCGCATTCCATGAAAAGGGAACTTTAAAACCCACTTGCTTCCCTCACCACTGAAAACAACATTGTTTTCTTACACACGCTTGGGAAAAACCTGCCTTAAATCCTTGCTTGGGCTGCAATAGGGCTGCTAAGTCCTTTCCTTTTCAGTGTGTGCATCAATTTGTAGTTCAGTGACTTTCTATTTCACCCCAATCTCCCTGAAGTTGCCCCAGCACAGCACAAGCTGCCACAGAGTGTATTTCAGCCTCCTGACAACTGCTGTACTCCCCTCAGTTATTTTCCGATGGTCCTTCAGGTGTCCATAAGCTCCCAGGTCTCACTATATTGCAGAGAATCATCCACCTGGGGTTGGAACTAGATGACCTTTAAGGTCTCTTCCTACCTTAGCCATCCTATGATTCTATTCTATGAAGTGTATGAGAGCTCCCAAAACAACACAGCAGTTAAGTGGGGTTCTCTGCCACTAAGAACTCCTTGGGAAATGGAACCCAGCAGCCAGTGGAGTGCACTGAGCAGGCTGCCCCATCACCTGCCCTGGTTACACAGCTGATAACATCACCTATCAATCACTACATTCAGTTTACAGCTCCGTCTTCCTCACCCACTGCTTTATCCACATCCAACACGAGATGAAGGAGCCTATATCTCCCATTGGCAGGCACAGGTACTCACTCCAACCGCTCCTCCTCTTTCTTCCGCAGGTCGAAGTCACGCTGGACCACCTCCCAGACATGCTTGGCCTCCTCATCAGTCAGCTTGGAGAGATCCAGCTTCCTCCCCATCTTGCAGACGAGCCTAAGTGACAACCAGAGGCATTCCTATGGCCGGCCCCGTTACCCGACACACTGCTGGGCCCCACCTCCGTGACCGCCCCAAATAATGGGGCCGCAGGCAGGCGAGCAGGCTCCTGCCAGCCCCACACCTCATCCGCCCAGCTGGGTTAAAGGAAGCATTGACTCACTGCCAAACCACTCGTGTTGTGCAGGGAGTGTAGATCCAACAGGTCTTAAAGCACCTCCCCAAGGAAAGCAAGCACGGAGGCAGGGCATAAGCAAAGGCTAAGCATCCCACCACCAGCACTGCTCTGTGCCCCACCTTGCCTCTTAAAACCAGCAGCTTTAACGAGGAAAATGGGAACAAATGGGTGCCTGAGCTACGCTGTCTGCCCTCCCAGCAATTTGGAGAATATCAGCTGCGCCAGGAGCAAATAGCTTAATTAGTAGGCAGCTCTCCTCTCATTTACTGTTATCAAGAGAAGATGGTTTGACAGGATTTAAAAAAAAAAAAAAAAGCCAAACAAATGCTAAGCATGTCATGTTCCTGGAGGAATATATTTAAATTGCAATAATCCAATTAGCAAAGCTGGTCTTGTTGCTGTATTTGTTGTTTGCCCTCTCCATAAAACACTCCCTCTGTGCCTCCAAGTGAGAATTCCTGTATTACATATACCAGAAGAAGGAGAGAATGAAAAGAAGCCCTTTTCTTATCTTCATGAGAGAAGGAGGAAAACATTCTGCCCTAAAAAGGCTGAGTGCAGTGGGAGCAGCCAGCCCTGGAGGGCTTTAGCCACTCGGCTGCCGTGTTCTGTCTGTGTGGTGCAGGGAATTATCTCCCCCCACTAACTCACTTGAAACAAGATTAGGCTAAACCCTACGGACAGAGCCAGAAAGGGATTTTTCAATCCAAACATGGATGGATTTTGTACAGAAAAAGTGATAATTACAGATGCTGGGTATCAGGAATGCGTGATCTCTGGATGCCCATACATTGATTTCCAGCCCCTCTTCCAGCAGAGATGGAAGAGCTGTCCTGGTGAAAGCAATTAGTTTTTTTGGCAGGAGTGAGATGTGAGCTGAGCCATCCTTATGTAAGTATGTCTGCAAGCTTGTGCGCCCCAGTGCACCCAAAAAGCACAGCGGGCTGATAGATCCCAATTAACATCATAACGAGACCCTGTTGGAGGACCTGCCAACTCAATTACCCAGTCCCAAGTGCTTGGGATCAGAGCGGTGTGGGAGGCTTCCTGGATGAGGGCCCATAGATGGCCATAAATTCCTAGTGTTGTGTCATATATTCCTAGTGTTTCATATAGGGGCTTTTTTGCTGCACACGTAAACTGCATTCCTTATGGGAAGATCTCAGTGATACGGCCATCCAAGTAACTTGGGTACAGTTAAAACTGGGGCTCAGTTTGTGATTTTTGGCCTCACCAGATAAGGAAAAGAGCAGTATTTCGGTGTCAGCTTCTTGAAGAGAAACATGCCCTTGTGGAAGCAGGGCAGCCCTGAGCATGTGCTGCTCTGCAGTCATCCCAGAGTCATGAGACCCCTCAGCTCTGCGGTTGCCTTCCATCATCCCTTGGCACTTTTATAAAGACCCATTCTCACCCGCTCCCATCACGCTGGTCAGAACAAGAAGGGCAGGAAAGGGTTGCAAAATGCCCCTGCTATTTCTGTACATGGCCCATAAGGGTTTGATATGGGTTTTGTCTATTAATACGACTGTGAAATTCTGTTATAATGCTGTTACTGTGTGACCGTATCTCATTTGGAGGCTACCAGAACGATCCCAGCAGCCTCCCCTAAAGAAAATGGCCATTTGATGGTAATTATCTTGGAAAATCATGTGCTGACATTGGTTGCAATTAGATAAACACAGTCACAGGATTAGAAAAGAATGTTTGCAGTGTCATCGTTAGGGTGGAAGCTGTATTTCATACAGGGGCGTTTTTGCTGCACATGTAAACAAAGCAGATGCCAAATTCCTACAGATCCCTACAAATTCCACCACCTTTTTTTCCCCCAACTAACCTTAATAAGAAGAGAATCCCATCCCCTTGCCTAACAAAAGCTTGGTTGAGAGAGATCTGGTCGGAAATTGATATTTTAACAGGAACAGCCCTCAAATTGTGGATTTCCTCTATCGATCAAGGTGAATTCGGTCCTATGGGAACGTCTCATTTGTGCTGATAAAAATGTAATCCAAACCACTGCCTGCAGAGAGGTGGTAAAATAGCTGGCAGAGGCTGTCACTTGACAGCTCCCAGGAATTACCAAGGTAAACAGTAGCTGAACAAACAGGAGTTAATCACTTTCAGCTCAACAAGGTCACGTCAGACACAGGTGCTACAACCCAGCAGCAACACGATATGTTCAAGGCTAAAGGAGTGTTTCGGACTGAACAGAGTGCAGTAAGCAGGCACAAATCCCAGCCAGCCCAGGAGATAAGGTCTGAGAAACGCTTTAGGGTCAGAGCCTGGAGCTGGCTGAAGTTCATCACTCATTTTAGCATTAGCTGGGGAGTTATGCCAACGACCAATGGACCAACACACCTTATAGGTGAAATGCTCATATGTTTTTCACACTGAGGGTGATGAGGCACTGGAACAGGTTGCCTGAGGCAGCTGTGGATGCCCCATCCCTGCAGGCATTCAAGGCCAGGCTGGATGTGGCTCTGGGCAGCCTGGTCTGCTGGTTGGTGACCCTGCACCCGGCAGGGGGTTGGAACCAGATGAGCATTGTGGGCCTTTGCAACCCAGGCCATTCTATGATCCTATGTTTGGGCCAACAGCACTTCAATGGGTCACAAAATCCAAGGTGAGGGAAGCTGCTCAGTGATTACAGTGCTGATCCCACATTTGGTAGCGTTTCACAAGGAGACCAAACCAAGCAGAGGACAGACAGATTTCTAGCCCTTCCCCCTGAGGGCCATCCTAACCCATCTGGGAGCACTGGGCTTCCATCCTTGTGCTCAAATACTCTTGATTTCAAGTAGTATCCCGGAATAGCCTGATGATTGCAGAGGTGTCTTTACAAACAGCTCAGATATGGCATAAGGTCATGTTAACCTTGTCTTGAGGCAGAGGATGGACTGTCTGTACCATTCCACATTTCATTTCAGCAGACTATTCTCTTCTAGCTTGCAGGACACCCAAAGGCTCTTCTCACTATTTTGACAACGAGGAACTGCAAGCTTTGCTGTGGTCATCAAAATGAAATAGTCCCAGAAAATGCATGGGAGGGGTAGTCTAGTAGTACCAGTGCATTTTCTTTTACTCTTTTATAATTTACATTACAACCAGGACTGCAACCTTGCAGCTGGGACTTGGTTTGACACTGTCTGTATGTAGAGCAGTGTTAGAGGATTTGCCACTGGAAGCAGCTGGGCCCTGAGCACCTACACAGATGCGAAGAAGGTTACACTAATCAGGTAAGGACACCCAACTGGATGTTCTTGTTCAGACAATTACCAAGGTCAAAAATGAACTGCATTCAGGCACGCAAACACAGTTCTAGAAAGCTAATTGCCTGAGAAATGCAGGAGTCTGTGCATGTCTAGAGTGCTTGCTTAGGGCTGTTTGTAGGCACAGGCTGCTGCTGCTGAACCCATTTCTGCTTTGTTAGAGTCTTGAGGAGTTTCTTTGCCATGCTAAAAGCAAAGCTGATACCGCTAAAAAGAAGCAGACCCCAAGCATCCATCCTTCACCACTCCACTTTTCTGGGATAACCATGGGCACACTTGGCAGGAGTGGGGCAACGGGGCTGACTGCAAGAAGCAGAGCATTAGACTCAGCACGTAGGGTGGCTGACCCTGGGGAAGACATCCTTTGAGAAACCACCCTGGTGTTTATTCTGCAAGCTGGCACAACCACGAGGAATGCATATCGCTAACTGAAGGCGTGATTGAATTCAGAAGCAAAACAGAACCCCACCAAACAAACAACTTATTCCAACTCTGCCAGGAGGGAGATGAGCCTTTGAGTCATTAAGCAGAAAATGAGCCCGTTTGGCTCCCAGAGCCAGTGCTGTGACTTAGCAGTGTTTTGCATGGTCATGGCTGGGCCAAGGACACTTCCTCAGGAGGGTGTACAAGCCCAGGCTTGGGTTTTCTACCTAGAGGACAAGTCTGTAGGAGCCTGCATGCAAAGAGGAATGATTTCAGGACCACGGCTCAATCGTTCATGGACTTGGAGGGCTGTCAGGGACCTCTAGGAGAAAACAAGCCCTTGTTGTTCCAGAGGGATGACTTGCACCCCACCCCAGGTTACTCATGAGGAAGTAGGGCTGTAGTGGCAAGATAAGGCTCTGTGTGCAGTTAGATCCTGGTCCTGCCGGCGACAGTGATGAATATGGTGTTGACTTAAAAGCAAACCAAACACAGGCAGTGAAATCTCTAGCGAGGCAAGACCAAGCTGCGTTGGTGCACCAACCTGGTGTTCCACGCTGGAACAACCTGCCCCTTTGCTAAGTCTTCCAAAATGATGCTCTTTCCTAAATCTCTCCATCCAGGATTTTCCAAGGTCAGACCCTCCAATATTTTCTAAGAGAACATTCAATTACAAAGGGCTTTGTTTTGTTCCTTTTGGGCTCCAGTATCTTCATGGGGTAAATGCTGGAAATGAGGATGCAGAACCCAAGAGATAGACACTTAGATACTGAACAATTAGCTGGGTGGTGCTTTTGGCTGCTCCCATGCATCCACCTCCATCCCTATCCTGACAGAACTGCTTGGCAGCACTTGAGCTGAGTGGCTTGGGTGCAGGATTTGTTTCCTCCACCCCTGAGCTGCAGTCTTTCTTCAGCCCACTGTCCTGCCCCAGGCTGTATTCTGAAGCTGCTGAGACTGGAGTTGTCCCCAGGCCCTCACAAAGCTCGCCCAGTCATTCCTCATCCTTGTTTGAGACATACTCTGCATTCTCTAGCCAGAAGGTGTCTAGCATTGACTCCCAGCCCCTGGGTTGCTGCTGTCCCTGTCAGACCCTGGAGGCAGAGAAAGGGATGGGATGGAGCTGTGAAGCACTCCCAGCAAGGTCACATAAGGAGAGCCCCGCTGGCCATGCAGAGGGCTGCCGGTCGATCTGATCTCTAATGAGTTTCCATTTGGCTGTTTTGGGCAGTGCCAGTATTTCTGTCCTTTTTTCAGCATGCTGGAGTGAGGTGGCCTTCAGCCAGGGTGCAGAGCGAGGTGCCCTAAGCAGAGGGGAGGCAGAGCTGTT